CGCGGCACAGGCCCCGGCTCACCCCGCGGCACAGGCCCCGGCTCACCCCGCGGCACAGGCCCCGGCTCACCCCGCCAGCAGCAGGCGGGGACCTGGGCGAGGAGCAGAGGACTGGACGAAGGGGTCCCAGGAGGCTACACGCACCCACTGGCGATTCCTAGAGACAACCTGGTCCAAAGAAGAGGGGGTGCAGCCATTTCAACTGGACCTTCCAGGGAGCGGGGGGCAGACAGGAGGAAGGCTCGAGGCATCCCCCCCGCCCCCCGTTTAGGGAACCCGAAAAGGCCACATCGGCTTCCACCCAGGACCCATCTGCAAGATCGGTTTCTCGATTCTTACATTTCAACACTTTGACCTGTTCCAGCCCATTTGTTAATAGCTGTGTGTGTCTGTGTGTGTCTGTGTGTGTGTGTGAGTGTGTATGTGAGTGTGTGTGTCTGTGTGAGAGTGTGTGTATGTGAGTGTGTGTGTCGGTGTGTGTGTGTGAGTGTGTGTGTCTGTGTGAGAGTGTGTGTATGTGAGTGTGTGTGTCGGTGTGTGTGTGTGAGTGTGTGTGTCTGTGTGAGAGTGTGTGTATGTGAGTGTGTGTGTCGGTGTGTGTGTGTGAGTGTGTGTGTCTGTGTGAGAGTGTGTGTATGTGAGTGTGTGTGTCGGTGTGTGTGTGTGAGTGTGTGTGTCTGTGTGAGAGTGTGTGTATGTGAGTGTGTGTGTCGGTGTGTGTGTGTGAGTGTGTGTGTCTGTGTGAGAGTGTGTGTATGTGAGTGTGTGTGTCGGTGTGTGTGTGTGAGTGTGTGTGTCTGTGTGAGAGTGTGTGTATGTGAGTGTGTGTGTCGGTGTGTGTGTGTGAGTGTGTGTGTCTGTGTGAGAGTGTGTGTATGTGAGTGTGTGTGTCGGTGTGTGTGTGTGAGTGTGTGTGTCTGTGTGAGAGTGTGTGTATGTGAGTGTGTGTGTCGGTGTGTGTGTGTGAGTGTGTGTGTCTGTGTGAGAGTGTGTGTATGTGAGTGTGTGTGTCGGTGTGTGTGTGTGAGTGTGTGTGTCTGTGTGAGAGTGTGTGTATGTGAGTGTGTGTGTCGGTGTGTGTGTGTGAGTGTGTGTGTCTGTGTGAGAGTGTGTGTATGTGAGTGTGTGTGTCGGTGTGTGTGTGTGAGTGTGTGTGTCTGTGTGAGAGTGTGTGTATGTGAGTGTGTGTGTCGGTGTGTGTGTGTGAGTGTGTGTGTCTGTGTGAGAGTGTGTGTATGTGAGTGTGTGTGTCGGTGTGTGTGTGTGAGTGTGTGTGTCTGTGTGAGAGTGTGTGTATGTGAGTGTGTGTGTCGGTGTGTGTGTGTGAGTGTGTGTGTCTGTGTGAGAGTGTGTGTATGTGAGTGTGTGTGTCGGTGTGTGTGTGTGAGTGTGTGTGTCTGTGTGAGAGTGTGTGTATGTGAGTGTGTGTGTCGGTGTGTGTGTGTGAGTGTGTGTGTCTGTGTGAGAGTGTGTGTATGTGAGTGTGTGTGTCGGTGTGTGTGTGTGAGTGTGTGTGTCTGTGTGAGAGTGTGTGTATGTGAGTGTGTGTGTCGGTGTGTGTGTGTGAGTGTGTGTGTCTGTGTGAGAGTGTGTGTATGTGAGTGTGTGTGTCGGTGTGTGTGTGTGAGTGTGTGTGTCTGTGTGAGAGTGTGTGTATGTGAGTGTGTGTGTCGGTGTGTGTGTGTGAGTGTGTGTGTCTGTGTGTGAGTGTGTGTATGTGTGTGTGTGTCTGTGTGTGTGTGTGTGTTTAATGTATTCATTGGCTGAGAAGATAACACAAAAGACTGCCATGAATTCAGTGAGTGTGAATGTCACTGATCACAAGGGCATCCACACACATTGGGGAACATCACCCATGAGGAGGCCCATGGGCACCACACTTGGGGAACCTACAGACAAGGCTGGGTCAAGGGCAGAGGTGGGAACGAGGAGAAGCACATGGGGCAGGTGCGGCCTCAGCGACACAACCCTCAGCCCCCAAATCGCCCCCCTGGGGAGGCCCAGGGGCCCCACAGCAGCCGGATCCATGTCACCCGCTCCCTGTCGCTATAGCTTCAGAAGAAAGGTGTTGACTGGGACCTCGTGCCACACTAATTCTAATGTGCGGGGGCATCCCCATACCAACAAGCAGTCTCCCACACCGGCAGGGAGTCTGGGAAACTATCTACCTGGAAGCAGAACCAGATCGCTCAGGCTGAGGGCTCAGTCCCCTAAGACCGCCCCCCACTCAGATGCCAGTCCCACGTCCAGGTTGTCCCCTGTGTTTCTGACCGCCTGGCTGTCCATTAGAGGTCCCCACCACCCCTCCTTGGGTTCAATCCATTTGTTAGAAAAGCCCACGGAACGGGGGCGACCCATTTACTCACCCGATTACGGGTTTATTACAACGGATGTTAGAGAGGAGACGAGGCAACGGCCAGATGGAGACAGCCAGCGAGGTGCACTGTGTCGAGCTGGCACAGCCAGGGATGAGCCTGAGGGGGCGGTGAAGGATGGAGAAGGCAGACAAGAGAAGAACGCTGGGCCGGGTGGGCCGCCGCCCTCTCTGGTGGAGAGACAGCGCCCCGGCCTGCAAGCCGAGTCTGTATTTTAAAGCAGATTCCACGAGGCAAAGCAAGGGCGTGGCCAAGATGATTATAATGTTCTCGGGGGTTTCGAATCCACTCAATCACATGCACCTGATCGAGCTTTGTTTACTCGCTGCCCCTCCCGCAGCCCACGTCACTCAGCCACGTGCGGCCACAGGTTCGGACCATGAGGTCAAGCTCACAGCCACAGCTCATTACTCCGAGGCTTGAACCTGTCCAAACACTGTAGCCGCTCTCCACAGTGCCCAACAAAGGAGCTCCGTCCACGTGGGGCCTGGGACCTGGCCTTGCTCCGGGGAAGCCCTCCGGCTCCCCAATGGGGGGCTGTCCCAACCCCGAGCTCCCAGAGTTTTATGGAGGCCTCGTGACGCAGTAGACAGTAGATTAAACTGTTGGCCGTTGGTGACTGATTCAACCTCCAGTCCCTCTCCCTGGAAATCGGGGAACAGGGAGGGGAGGGGACTGAAAGTTCCAACCCTCTACTCACGGTCAGTTCCCCGGGCAACAGCGCCTATCTGTGGGTGCTTTCCAAAAGCTACCTCATTACCATAAACCCCGCTGTGGTGCAAAGGGACTCGTTATGAATAATGAGACGCACATTTCACCTTCTGGGATCTGAAGGATTTCAGGAACGGAGGACCAAAGGCGAGGACTGTAACACAGAAGCTCCCATCACTCTGATGGCAAAGGGATGCCAGGGCTTTGGGGGTTTGTAAGCCAGGAACCCCGGACGAAGACCAAATAGCTGAGAAATCATTCAGTCATCTGAATGACCAAAGATGTATTTCTTATGAGTCACCACATTGCACACTCGTTATGGAGTGACTCCATGTGGGAGAGCTTCGACCAGCCGCCCCCTCCCCCAGCCCCGGGGCAGTTACCTGACCGTCTGTGCAGCCCATAGAGAGGTGCCTGCAGACCAGGGGCAAGCCCAGAGCAGTCGGCTCTGTCCAATCGAGCCAGCGCCGTGGGTGGGGTTGGAATCGAGTTAGGGATGTAGCCTCAGAAGGTGGCTGGAAACTTGGCTAAAACGGAAAAGAATGACCACGCCAAATGTTGGCAAGGCTGTGGAGCCACCGGACCTCTCGTACCTGGTTAGGGAGAGTGTAAATTGGTAAAATACTTTGTAAAACGGGAAGAACTGACCACACCTCACATACATGGACCCTGAGACCCAGCAACTCTATCCCTAGGAATATACTCACCAGCAATGGGCATGTGCACACACTCACCAAGAGATCCATCGAAATGGCCATCTACAGAATGGATAAATATGAGGTCGAGCCTTAGGAAATGGTCTTTTTTTTGGCGGGGGGTGGGGGAGAAAAAGGTTGAAATTAGCAATTTCATGTGATTAATCCTAACAGATTGTGGTGTGTCCACACGATGGAATACTACGCGGCCATGAAAAAGGAACGTGCTGCTGCTCCATGCCACGATAGGGATGAATCGCACACACGTGGCCGTGAGTGAAAGAAGCCAGTCACACACACGAGCATCCTCTAGGGTTCCACTTATTTGAAGTTCTAGAACAGGTAGCATTCTCCATGATGCTCCACGTCAGAATGGTGGTTTCTGCTGGGGAGCCCTGATTGGGAGGGGGCACCAAAATGCTTCTGGGATGCTGGAATGTGCTAAATGCTCATCTGGATGGTGGTTACCCAGTGGATGAGTCCATGAATCCAGCTGGACACACTGAGAATCAGGAGGCAACCTTTGCCGCAACAACAAAAAAACTAAAAGCTACTGGAAAGTGGCCGGTAAACACATGAAAAGATACTCCAGAGTGCTCCTCTTCAGGGAATCCAAATCAAGACCGCGATGAGACACAACTTTGCTCTCATTAGGGCGAGTATTACAAACAATAAACAAACAGCGCAAACTAGCCCGTCGGTCAGGAGCAGCCCGATCAGCGCCAGGCAGGCCCCCGGCCTGAGAGCCCTGCAGGAGTCGCTGCGGGGCCCACCCTGCTTCTTTGCCTAGTCTGACTCCCCGTCCTCGCCCTCCTCTGCCGGCAGAAGTCCTCCACCCTGGGCAGCTCTTCTGCGCTCCTTTCTGTCTGCCGCGCTGGGCGCTGTGTGATACGAAGAAAGTTTCTGCTTAAACCCTTTAACATGTTAATATGCCTCCATTTATCTTTTAACAACATGGGTTAAATACCCAAAATAATTGAAAGCAGGGACCTGACAGCCCAGCTGGCACGGTGCCCTGGGCGGCCGGGACTGCCCTTCACTTGCTCTTGTGTGTTGCTCTTAACTCCCCTTCACAAAACCAGGGCTACCCTGAGAGCCAGGCGTCCAAACCGTCTAGGGGGCCGCCCAGCACAGTGCCCTTTCCCTGGCATTCCAGGCCTTGGGCTTCTCGCCTGTCCTAACCCCGTTCCCCTTTGCCCAGCCGCTCTGAGCCACCCACCTGCTCCAGTTCTGCTTCCCCAGGTCGTCCCGTCTGCCTGAATGCCCCTCCCAGACCTCCTGGGCCAGGGGGACGCTGTGCGACCTGCAAGACCCACCACGGAAATGCTGCCGTCAGAGCGGCCTCCGGGCCCTCCGGGGACAGGCAGAGTCCCTCTCTCCTGCCCCAGTCTCTCTCATCACTGATGTTTCTATCTCTCTCTCCCTCTCCCGTCCTCTCTGAAATCAATAAAAATATATGTAAAATTAAAATTAAAAAAAAGAAAAAAGGGACTTGTAAGTATTTGTACACTCATATTCATAGCATTATTATTATTATTATTA